ACACACACACACACACACACAATCTCACAAAACCATACAAAAGCCTATGCAAATACATTCACATAGACAGATATAGCACACACATCCCAACTCACTCCCCAGCTGCAGTGAATGCTCTTCCAAGTTCTTGCCACACACACACACACACACACACACACACACACACACACACACACACACACACACACACACGCACACACACACACACACACACACACACACACACACACACACACACACACCGTTTTCTACCCCTCCTCCCTAACCAGTAACTCAGAGAAAAGACAAGGCGAAAACAATATAATAGTAACTCTGATGGTGTGAGCACAAAGGCAGGATTCACAGACGTTCGAGAGGGGGACCTATTTAAAAGTAACACAGCTGCATGAATTTATTAAGACAGATGGACAGAGCGACAAGCTCAGGAAGGTCTTGTGAAAGGCTGCATTTTTTATTATTATTACCCGTTTGAAGGATCCGTGACATTTTAATTGGGGATGTAACTAATATTTATGACTATTTGAGAATAATCTATAAAGGATAGACGCTCAGTTACTTTCAGTAGATGCCTTTTTATTTCGGTATCGGCCTCTAAAACAGAGAGATGGTCTGAAGAAGACGACTCCGAATCCCTACCAGCTCCAGCTGTGTCGTTCTATGTCCGACCCTGGCCTCTGACCTCTCTGTAGGGCAGGGAAATGAGTCATCAGTATCTTATTATTACTGCTATTATTCCAGAGGAACTCAAGCTTGAATGCTGCTTTTATTTCAAACTATAAGACAGAGTTGTAATAACTTAATAACTGCAGCCCACCGGATCCCTCCGCAAGCTTGACTGATTCACTTCAACGAGCAAATTCGGACACACCTGCTCTGTCCTGCACAGGTGCATGCAGGGAGAGAGAGAGAGAGAGAGAGAGAGAGAGAGAGAGAGAGAGAGAGAGCGAGCCACAGAGGAGAGGAGTATTTCTGAGCAAGAGAGGGATATAAACAGATTTCAGAGGATACAGAGTTTTCACGTCATTCCCCGGTCAGTTGAGCAGATCGCTGCCTCTTGTGAGTCAGCAGGAATGTGTTTGTGTGAAAAGGGCAAAAAGGGCGATGGCGGCGTCTATCTGAAGAACGCTGTCTCTTGTTTCATAACACACAACATAACATAAGATTCGGATTTGGATTCCAGATTCCACGCACAGTGGGAACGCTACTTTTGTTCTTCTTAACTTAAAAAACATCATACCAGCAACATAACTAGATACAATATACAAAAAAACGTTGTATAGTTCAAAGGAAACAAGTAACATACATAACAAAAAGTGTTGTTTAAACACGTTAGATTTGATCCTTTTCAGATTCCATTTTAATGTAAATAAATCACAACTAATAAATAAGAAATATACAACTTTTCTTGTGTTTTTATCCGGTCGAAACTAATTCATTATCTGCTCCAATTCCAGTGTGGCAGTTTGTTAAATTCTAACAAATTTGTACATTTATTGTATATTTGTGTTTTGTAGATGTTTAATAGAGAGTGACATCACCTGGCACCAAAGCTCAGCCAATAGCGGACAGTCAGGCAGAACCTGTCTTCCACCAGTAGATGACTGCGCTCACACGGGTTGGGATTCAAATTTAGAGCTCCATATTCACTTTTTAAATTGGTTTGTTTTGAAGTCAGACTTTTTAAAGTCAGGTAGATTCTGGCCTGGGATGATGCGGGTGTAGACTCCCAGGCCAAAGGTCAAAGGACCGCGTGGCCTGTGTTAGGACCCTGCTTCATCGCCTGCTGACCTTTAATTGTCACCCTCCATGTGCTGTGTGTGAGTGTGTGTGTGTGTGCTTCACAACAAACTACATCATCTCTGTCACATGACAGGTTAGGTTTGTAAAATGTTCACTGCCTAGCTTCTTCTCTGGGCTCTTTGTTTATGTTGTTGTAAAACATCATAATTATCTTCTCATTTTTCTTCGATGCAGCAAAGTATTTACTTTAAAAACAAAAACTCTTTTTAATGTGCAGAGTGAGTCCCAATAGTTGCATGTTTATGTGCACAGTGAAACCAAATGAAGAAGAATCAAAGCATTATTGTTACTTTTAAACGTACATTTCGTGTGATCATTATTCTTCATCAACCTAAGTTTATTCATGTCAATAATTTAAAAGATGTAACTATTGTTCACTGGGAACAAGTTCAATCATTGACTGCCTATTATTCCTAAGGTCGCAGGCCTGGTTTCATTTCACTGAGACAAATTTATTTTAGGTTTTGTATAGTTTAGTATTTTAAATATTACATTTTATTATTCAAAAGTGTAAAAAAAAAGTGTACTTTTTATAATAAGGAGTATCAACCAGAATACGTGACAGAAGAAATAACGATCTGAAATAACAGACGCATTCACAATGTTCTGTAAAACAATTTTCTATCAATTTGTAACACTCGTGCATTATCAGTAGCATTATCATATAATTACACTTTTTCTTAAACGTTTCATCAATCTTTATTTGCTTAATTAAATGTCTCTCATTCTGAGCAAAGTCAGCAGACTGTCCAGTCATCCATCATTTTATTTATCAGGTTATTTAGGAACTCATCAAGCAAGAATAGATGTTTCTTCTCTTTTCTCAGGCCTGTAACTGCTTGAGGTTCTCACTGATAAGTCTTACAAATACCAAGAGGTTCGTTAGAAAACATAGACTATTGTTGAAGCATTTAAATACGACCCAGTCCCTGCCTAATGTAATATTGTGGCCATAGAAGCATAGCATTCATTGACATTTTTTGTCCAAACGGCATCAATTCAGGTAGCAGTGTACATGTTGGGCCTGTTCACATCTGTCCATCTTCATTATTTGCGCACAAACACACACACACGCCAAAAACCAGCACTCACGTCAGACCGAGGCCGGGCCGCAAATCCTCCGCTGCGCAGCGGGAGAGAAATCCCCAGAGTGGCTGTCTGAAGATCCCCGGTTTAAAGCTCCAGGAGCTGGACAGTCCCGCCACAGCTCACCCGGGCCTGAGTCGCCGCTCCTGGGGCATTTTTGTCTATATGTCAGTTTGTTGAGACGCGGACAACGAGTGGCGGTAGAAGGGAAAGACACAAGCTATTCCCTTCTCTTCTTTTCTTTTTTCACATGCACAAAACTGCTTTTTGTTCCCCACTTCTTCTTTTTTTTCATTTAAGGGGGAAGGGGGTGCTCGTTTTGATCACATGATTATAATTCACCTGAGATAAAACAAAGGGGGCAAAGAAAAGGAGTGGAGAGGAGGAATCGGACAAAGAGATGCACTCATGGTTGCAGGATTCCCTTATCGTCGTCAACATTAACTGATAATGAAAAAAAAAAGTGGCGATTTTTGGATTGGGTGCCAGTGTGTCGCATGGCGGGGATACAAGGGGTCATTGTTGTGAAGAACAGCGCTTGTGTTTGTGTCCGTGCGGCCCATAATGTCCCCGCTCGTCTCTCCTTTCCGCGTCACTGTTTGGTTTTATGAACGCGCTCCGTGGATCTCAGTCAGAGGCGCTAATGCAATTGGAAAACTCACATAAGATTCGTTCCAGTTTTACTCATTTTCTTCATGAAGTTTGGCACAGTGTGAGAGAGAGAGAGAGAGAGAGAGAGAGAGAGAGAGAGAGAGAGAGAG